CCCCACCACCACCGGGCAGGAAAGGGAAAGGTGCAGCCTACTCAGGTGTGGTTGCTTACATTTTTGTATTTGAATATGCATCTCATTTCCACAAGACTCAGCTTATGCTGACCCAGGAAAAGCTGGGGGTAGTACAAACTGGTTCTGTGGCCAAGCAGCTTCGAGAGCAAGCTGACCAGGTGAGTCATAGTTTGTGCAGTGCGGTGTTTTCTTATCTCTATCAAATCTTGTAGTCTCCAAATCTGCCTTATGCTAAGCAGATTGTTACCAGCTCTGCCGCTGCTGATGGCACTCTTCGCCTTCCATCTGTTGCTCTGTAACACTCTCTGTACCAGTACATTGCTTTGTATGCATGCACTTGATCAATACATGTCTGATTCATGTGTGCCACAGCTCAGTGATACGATATTGGCTCGCATATGTCCGCAGTTGGCGCAAAAAATTGTTTGCTTATTTCTCGGCAATACTGTTCATGAATGCTACAGCATGCTCCTGCTTTAAACCAGCTTCGCCATTCGCAAGGCTAGCGACAAACGTCACTAGTGCACCAGTGGTCAGATTCTGGTACACACAGTTGTCCGGGACCTGCCATGTGTCAAACTTGGTTGTGTTGCGCAGCGCATGCAGCAGCCGTACCAGAAGATATTATTGTCATCGCCAATATTGTACTCGAGCACACAGGTCACCACTGTGTGGACAAAATCCTTAGCTGGCTCATATGCCCACTATGAAGGCGGGATAAGGTTGTCCTTGGGTGCTTTGTCTGCTGCAGTGCAGAGTGCCTCGATCTCCTTGGTGTACTCATTGACAATGGCAGCACGGCAAGCTGCGAGCGTTCTTCGAGGCGTAACATGAATGGCTTTTGTGGCAAGGCAACCATGGTCATCTAGAATGTCTGATGAGCATCTGTGCAAATCCTGGCTGTGCACTGAGTTCACCTCCTTGAACAGGTACGAGTGCTGAGGAGCACACTTGTTCATTATCTTGACTGTCAGCCTGCAACTCTTGCTTAGCACCCCGTTAGAGACACCAGGATTAAACACTCACCAGACCAAGTTCTAGAACTCATTGAGCTTCTCTTTGTCTGCAGGGTTGAAGACGAACTCGGGTGCTGGGTTGATGACGACACCCATGTTGAACTTTCCCCTGCCAAACACAACAGCGCATTTGATGTGCGAGCCTTGGTTGAGGACTGCCTCTGCACTCGCCACGAGTATTTGCATGTGGGAAATCATTGCAACAAGATGACTCACTAAGCAGATCGGGATCCGTCTTCTCGCCAGTACTGCGCGTAATCTGGTTGTCTGTACGACCAAAAATCTTGTAGAAGCCAGGCTTTGTAAGGTGTGGCACGAAGACGTCATTTATATCATACCCAGCATGTTCGTACGAGTGCACCCAAGCACAAAGATATTGAGACTGAAGCTGGATGCCACAGGAAGCAGATGCGTGTGGTCAATCTGAGAGTGTTCAGCTGCCACTGTTGCGTGATTAACACGTCTACATCTGGAGTGAATGCTCAGAGAACAAACGAACAGCTTCAAGTGGCGCCACTGTTAAGACGAGGGCATGCTGACCATAACGGGCAATTTGTCGGCACGCATCCTGCCACGCTTGAGCTCGAAGTACAGGACTGCGGCCATGACCTGTATAAGGATCCGGACAATGAAGGTTCAAGGAGATAGTACGTCCAGGCTCAATGCAGACCGTTTTGTAAGCATGAAGTGTAGTCAAGGGTCCACAGCGCAACAACCACGCGCTCGAGGAAGAGAACGATTGCAATCTCAAGCGCACGAATACTATGCTGCAAGATACAGGGTGAAGAGATTTTTGCAGACAAAGCGAGTGGTGGCAACAATAGGACGTCTCAAGACAGTGAACATGTGTGGAGTGTGTGTATGGCATGTATGCATAACCGTGAGTGACGACAGGAGGTGAGGACACTTCGGAACGTTCCAAATTGTGTGCAGGATGTATACCTGTAGGATGGCAGAGATGGAACTTTGAAGCCTCATGAAGGGCTTTGGCTGCTAGCTGCGATGGCATTTTGAGGGCCATTAGGGGTTGCAACTTCAGACATGTGGAAGTGACACATACCCATACCAATGCTGGATAGCCCATTTCAAGCGCGATCTTCTCGTCATTCCTGAACATTGGCAAATTTTGGCTAAAGTGCTTCGTTCTACAACTTTAGCTTTTTTCAGCTAGCCAGCCAGGCATTGTATGCTTGGGCTGTTCCAGAACGACACTGCACTGCTAAAGTGTAGCAGGTAGTGCCACTGGGCGCTGCTCTTGCTTATGCTGGTCTTTCTAGTATCAAAGTATGCGAAGAGGTACAGGGCACGGCGCAACTGTGAACTGTGTAGTACTGAGGTAGCAAGCTACACTCATCGGCACTTGACAGCAACTGGCCAAAGAGATTGTGGAGGCAACACGAGCAAATTTGCATGGCCGCACAGGAGCACGTCTCGACATGATCCGTGTTGTGTTGAACAGTGAATGGCAGTGCCTTGCATGCCTCTCAATGCGGTGAGCAAGTCTGGGAACTTGTTGCGGTAGGACGGAAATATTGGCGATGCCAGGCAGCAAAGACCTGACTTGGTATGCTTGTGGTGGCAACCTTTTGCTCAAAGCCTTTGGTGGACTGCTTTTTATCACTGAAAATAGTTCATGCATAGACTCGAGATACGAATGGGCCAGCTGGTATATAATTCATATTCCATGGTCACATCGCAATGCTTATGTACAAAAATAGGCACTTTGGGCAACATCTT